AAAAAAAATCAATGGAAACAATATCCATAAGAAAGGGAAATGTGCTTATGTATAATAGCAAAGAACTGATTCTTTGTGGCAAAGGGCGGGGTCAGAGAAGTTGTTATTGTTATGGGTTGAATTGTGTCCCCTGAAAATTTAATTAGAGTCTTAATCCCCAGTATCTCAGGATGTGACCCTATTTGGAAATTGGGTTGTAGCAGATGTGATTATTTAATATGAGGTCATTCTGGAGTAGGATGGACCTTTAATTCAACAGGACTTGGGTCTTTATTTTAAAAAAGGGGGGGTGGGGGAAGGGGGGAAAGTTACTGCTCTACTCAGGAGGCTAGAGAATCATTTGGACCCAGGAGTCCGGACCAGCCTGAGCAACATAGTGAGACCCCATGTCTTAATTTAAAAGAGGGGAGGGGAATTTGAAGACAGACACAGGGAAAATGTCACAGATAGAAGCCAAACAACGCCAAATAGATTTATCACAGCTGTCAGAAGGAATCAACGCTTGCAGGCACCTTGATCTCAAACTTGTAGTTTTCAGAATTGTGAGACAAAAAATTTATGTGGTTTAAGCCACCCAGTTTGTAATTGTTTCAGCAACCCTAGAAACTAATATAATTATAATTGAAGGAAGTATAAGAATAGAATCAAACCTTGTGGAAGTGCATAGGCAATTTTGATTTTGTGATTATTTTTTATCTTAATATTATTTCTTATCTTAATATTATGTACAAATAAAAACAATAAGAGCCAACTGCTACAAACTACATTATCATGTGAAAAATTAATTATGACTTCATTTATGCAAAAAGAATAAACCAATATATTTATAAACATAAGTACATTTATACAATTAAATAGAACACAGGATGAAGATTTGAATAGCTCCTAAGAACCTCAGCCATAGACCACAGAGAAGTGATCTGAATATCTATTATATAAAAAGGTTTTATTAAAAAAAAAAAACTTATACCAGGTTGCAGTAGTTATTGGTGACTTCTATGGAGTGGAGGCTGTTTGGGGACCAAAGAAGATATGGAAGGATTTTTATATTTTACTCTTTATACTTGTGTATTTTTTTAAAAATGTTTAATGAAAATGTCTTCATGGAAGTTTCAGTTGTACAATGTTATGGGTGGGGGCAATATAGCAATATCTTTCAAAAACCTAAGAGCATATATCCTTTAATCCATGAATTCAATGTATGCATCTTGCAGATAAACTAGCATACGTGCACAATAAAATAATTCCTGAATAGCCTTCCCAGATAATCAAACCTACATTTATCTTTCATTTCCCTAATCTCTTACATGTAGAAACCTAATTT